TGTGCCACTGCTCTGGCTTTAGATCCAGGTAGTGGTGTTTACCTCTCGGATTGACTGCTGGATCGGAGAGAGCTGCAGTCACAGGCCATCGCTGTTCCAGGAGTCTTGATAACATATGATACGTACTGTTCCACCGGGTACTGACATCCTGTATCAACATGAGTAGTGGCTTTCCCATCTGCTGTTGTTTTTCTTTGAGCTTAGTGCAGGCCAGTTCACTCTTTTTGAAGTGTTCCACTAGGCACCTAGCAGAACCCACACAACTAGCAATTGTTTTACTGTTTTTGAGTCTGCACAACTAAATTTAAAGTATGCCCTGCACATCTCACAGAAGCCCACCCATGCCTCTCTCTAAGAATTTTTGCTGGTGCCACCACATTGGCCCCATTGTCATGGACAACTGCCTTTACCTTTTCAAGTGGAATCTCAAATTTGGCAGTTGTCTCCTCTAGCCAGTCTGCAATGTTGGCTGCAGTGTGTCTCTCTTCTAGGGGCATTGTGGTTAGGGAGAGGGACTTCATCTCCCAATCTTCCCCCAAGAAGTGGCATGTCACCCCCAGGTAGGCCTCTGTTGCCACACTGGTCCAAATGTCTGTTGTCAGGGCAACACACTCTGTTTGCTTTAGGACAGCTCTCAATTTCTCTGTAATGTCTCTGTGTTTCTTCTCCATCAGTTGTGTGAAATATGTTCTTGATGGTAGGCTGTATTTAGGATTGAAAGTTGAGATCATGTCTCTAAATCCCTTGTCCTCCACCATGGACAGTGGCCTCATATCGGTCACGAGCATGTTCAAAATGCTCTCTGTAAAAATTGCAGCTTCTTGAACAGTGTATGACTGAGCTGGGCGAACAAAGCTGTCCATACTCCGTTGTGAAGTGCTGAGAGGGAGAAAAAGAGGAAAAGCAATTTAATTTATTAATATGCACAACAGGTTTCATGCTGTAATCTAGCCATGACATCAAAGTAAATATCTGTTTTATGTAGAATTCTACACCTGCACATTTTTCCATTAGGCTGATTATAATGTCCTCCCCAAAAGTACGAGTCGATTTGGAGAAGCAGGCTGTGTTGGAAAAATACACTCTTAACAGTATACTAGTTATATTAAACTTGTGTCTATTTCAGTTAAAGCTGTTATAAGTTATACATATACTATAAGTTATATAGTATGCAAGTAATAAAGCTATCTAATATGTGAATTTCTCCTTTAAGATGTTATAATATAACCACTCTAAGCATCCAAGCATATTTGTGTATTCTGGTAGTTTAACGCGGAAGAAGAGCTGTAACGTGACTTGTTGTTGAACACGCAGTAAAAGCTGATGCACTTTTTGTTCCGTGCGTTTTAACTGAAAAATGAGTACTCCGAATCTTTAATAAAAACCAACAGGCTGGGGAGTTTAATTTTTTGTTGTTGTCTAACTATTTGGCAGACGTGAAATACAAACACGGTCTCGCAAAGACTGCAATACAATATTTGTTCCTCCATCACGTCCCGGTGTGTACAGGGAATGCATGCTGAAATTATTGTTGCGTGGCTACATAAAAGTTTAAGCATATGTGATGCATTGCTGCAATTGGTCTGACTGGTGTGTGTGTGTGTGTGTGTGTGTAGGGCTCTTTTTTTAGGCTATACTCTCTTGCAATTGAACGTGATAGTTACGTTTACTACTAAAAATCATATCTAGTCAAACCGCATCACGACATCGCTACAAATACAGTATGGGATTAAAATCAGCGAACATCAATAGGCTTAAGGTGATGATACACAGGGCAACTTTTTGAGCAATGTTGCTGGGCAATCTTGCCGAGCGATTGTTGCTTGGGTAACTTTCCCATTGAAAATGGGCAATACATTTCTATCTGGATAATTTAGGTCAGTCGTGGGCCCTGTGTCTCATCTGGTTGCCCGTTGACGGCAACATTGCCCAGCAACATTGCTCAAACAGTTGCCCTGTGTATCATCACCTTTAGACTACTTTACCTTGTTTCAACGATGCTTGGTGAAACAGCATGGAATGGATGTCTCCTGTTCAGATGCTGAATCATGGAAGATGTGCTGTTGTGGTATGCCAGCTCTATTTTGCAGTAGAGACACTGCACCTTGTTGTCTTCTTTATTAAGTGTGTAATGATCCCACACTTTAGACAATTTCTGCCGTTTATTTACATATTTATTCTCCGCCATCGCGCCAACTAAATTCAAAATATATGCTTCCTGAACAGGTCCGTGTGAATAAACGGTCCGTGTGAAACAATCAAATCCCTGCGCCGCGCGTATACTATAGTGCGCGTCATAGGAATTTAACGAGGCTTCGAGGCAGAGTTTTTGCCTCGAGGAATTTTTGTAATCGAGTAACTCGAGTAACTCGAGGAATCGTTTCAGCCCTAGCCACCATGTACCTATCCTCTGATGGCTACTTCCAGCAGGATAATGCACCATGTCACAAAGCTCGAATCATTTCAAATTGGTTTCTTGAACATGACAATGAGTTGACTAAATGGCCCCCACTAAATGACTAAAATGGCCCCCACAGTCACCAGATCTCAACCCAATAGAGCATCTTTGGGATGTGGTGGAACGGGAGCTTCGTGCCCTGGATGTGCATCCCACAAATCTCCATCAGCTGCAAGATGCTATCCTATCAATATGGGCCAACATTTCTAAAGAATGCTTTCAGCACCTTGTTGAATCAATGCCACGTAGAATTAAGGCAGTTCTGAAGGCGAAAGGGGGTCAAACACAGTATTAGTATGGTGTTCCTAATAATCCTTTAGGTGAGTGTGTGTGTATGTGTATATATATATATATATATATATATATATATATTAGGGGTGGAACGGTACACAGAAGTCACGGTTCGGTTCATACCTTGGTTCAGACATCACGGTTCGGTACGATTTCGGTACAATGGAGGGAAAAGCAAAACAAAAATGCAGAAGGCATTGTATTTTTAAAATAAGTTTTATTAATAAAGGCATAGAACCAGTTTATGCACTGACAATAGTTTTATATAATTAGTTTATTAATTAAATTAATAAAAAGACAAAAAGACCTTGCGATATGTTTGGTAATTGTACTATTAATTTAAAATTATTTTGCTATATTTCAGATCAATATATTTGTTTTCCTTCATTTTAATTAACGTTATGAATTGACAATGTCACATTATTCTCATCTGAATTATAAATAATTGATTTCTGCATGTATAAAATAATACTACCATTAAAAACATTCAATTTTCTTTTTTTAATGAATGTAGAATGTGTAAGATTAGTGCTCCGAGGACAAGAAATGAAAAACCAATGCAATATGACAAATGTCCAAAAGATGGGACCCACAGACTGTTTTGAAATGGAGTTGGATAAATATGTTTTGCTTTTAAAACAGTGTGTGTGTGTGTGTGTGTGTGTGTGTGATTTTGGTTGGGTGACAGTTGTAGGTTACAGTTTGACAAGAGTTTACAGTTTGACAAGAGTTTACAGTGTGACAAAAGCACAATGTTGTGTTTATTTTGAGTGTACACAAATATAAGTGAACACTTTGCAGGTTTAATGATCTGAATGAACAAAATGACGGAGTAGGCCTATGTTTTATGTTTTCACTGTTCGATCTCGCGCCTCTCTCTCTCTCTCTCTCTCTCTCTCTCTCTCTCTCTCTCTCTCTCTCTCACACTCACACAGTTCGATCGCGGTCATCGCGCACACTCACACACACACACACACACACACACACACACACACACTCCAGCATTGCAATCTTGACATCGCAGCCTGTTCATTATGCGGTCACACCAAACGCGAATAGAGCGTCAAATTCGCGTCTAGTTCGACGCTAGTCCAAAGCGAATAGGACGCGCGTATAAAGCCAACGTTTGAAGTGAACGCGCGTTCAGAGCTAAGCCGATGCTACAGATTATGTGTCCCTAAAGAACCCGCGTATCTAACAGTAGTTCCGCATTACATTAATTAATTTGCACGCGAGTTTTATTTATTTCTATACCGTGTATTCTCCGTGTAAATTCGTGGACCGAACCGTGACGCCCGTACCGTTTCGGTTCGATACGAATACATGAACCGTTCCACCCCTAATATATATATATATATATATATATATATATATATTAGTCTTAATACTAAGTACTTAATACTATATATATATATATATATATATATATAGTACATAATATTTACATGTGGAAAATTACTATAAAATAAAGTGCTACCGACATGTCATTATCAAAGAACCAATTACTGTCAACGCAACACCCAGGGTTCTTAATTGTAGAAAACAATGTAACAATACATGTAAACTCTATCATTAAATTTCACTGTTATGTCAATGAAACAATGACTCCCATGGGAAAGCATGTACAAGGAGAAAAGCAGAGGACCTAAAACTGAGCCCTGTGGCACACCATACTTGTGTTTGATGAGATGTCTCTGCATTCACACTAGCAAAGTAGTAGCGATCAATTAGATGGGACATAAACCATGCTAATGCTTGTCCGCAACTGCCAGCATAATTATTAAGCTGTCCAAAAGAAAGTGGTAGTCTTTGTTGCAGAAAGATCTAATACCACTTGAAAGAAGATATAGTCATGACTAGATGCTAAAAATGGGTTATTTGTTTATAACTTTAAAACAAACAATGAGGCTTAAATCCTGACTGATATTGTTCACAAATACCCTTTCTCTGCAAAACTGAACATAGTCGAGAGGCCAATATTTTTGTATTTTAGACATAATTGCTGGTTTGATGCCTGTCTATAATTAAACACTTCTTGGTAAAACTGTTTTTTTTTGGTAAGGGGTATGATAACTGCCAGCTTGAAAGTATTTGGGATGTGTCCTAAACATTGACGAGGCTCTGAGATTACAGGTAACAACTCTTTCAGTTGCATAGTTGGTGTATGATTCAGCATGTCTAAAGGTTTTGATGTCTGTTGCTTTGTGTCATTAAACTGGCGTTAACTTGTATTTGTCTCTTTTCTCTTTAGACCTGATGCCACTGAAAGAGGATAGTGAAGTACTGAATGAAATGGAGAGAGCTCAGTATGAGAAACATGATTCCACAACTGGAGAAAAACGGTTTAGTTGTTCACAGACTGAGAAATATTCCTCACAAAAAAGAGCTCAACAAACAGAAACTATAAGTTATTTCATCTGCCCTCATTGTGGAAAGAGTTTCACTAAAAAAGGAACCCTTAATGCCCACATGAACATTCACACTGGAGAGAAGTCTTTCACCTGCCAACAGTGTGGAAACAGTTTCAATCAAAAAGGAAGCTTTAACAGGCACATGAGAATTCACACTGGTGAGAAGCCTTACATCTGCAAACTGTGTGGAAAGAGTTTCACAACAGAACTAAACCTAAGGTATCACGTGAACAGTCACACTGGAGAGAAGCCGTTCACATGTGATCAGTGTGGAAAGAGTTTCAGACACAAAGTAACCCTTAAAAAGCACCTGAGGACTCACTCAAGAGAAGACTGTTGTATATGTCATCAGTGTGGAATGAGTTTCACAGATATAAATCATCTTACGGCGCACATAATAACTCACACCGGAGAGAAGCCTTTCATGTGCTATCACTGTGGAAAGACTTTCTCAAACAAAACAAACCTTGAGGTTCATATGAGAGTTCACACTGGAGAGAAGCCTTTCACCTGCCCTCAGTGTGGAAAGAGCTTCAGATTTAAAGGAAACCTTCAGACACATATAAGAGTTCACACTGGAGAGAAGCCTTACACATGTATTCACTGTGAAATGTGTTTCACATATCAAAGGGACCTGAAGCGTCATTTGCAAACTCATTCTGGAATCGAGGGTTCCTCAATCTGGCAAGAAGTTTAGAAAAATAAGCAATTTCAAAGTCATTTGTGCATTCACTCTGGAAGAAGGAAATTGACGCCATTGACGAAAAATATCCAGCTTTCCGTGTTTTCACTGTGATTTTGACACTGTAGGGGGCGCTATAACATCTTCTGAACAAGTACTGCATCTCTGGATCAAGACACAGGTGAAGAAGAAGCAGAAACAAGCAATATCATATGTAAGCCAGTGCTTATGTAAAATAACACGATCAACAGCATATAAATCAAGACCGCCTAATGTTACTGAATGAAATGTCGACCCAGGACGAGCTATTGGACTGTGAAGCTTTAGGGGTGTTGATGCGCTCGGTCTACTCCATCTATGTTTTGGTCATCGTATTGAAACCGATCTGGATGTAGTCTTTGACAAAAACGTGATTTTTGTCAATACTAGTCTTACCCACATTCAAGTGCTGATAAAAAAGGTATGCATAGAACTGAAAAGTGCTGTTGGTAAATTGGGTGCTCACGGCTACAGTAAGAACTGTGTGTGCCCCGCCATCCACACCTTTTCCTAACTGATTGCCACAGCTGTAAATATACCTAGCTCCCGGTGATGTGTCACACCCAGTGCAACACTCACACCAAGTGGCTAGAATAAGTAATAGCAATATTAACCTATCCAGAAAAGGTGAATGTATAAATGGCTCCTACAATGTGACTTTTTAAATGTGTCCCATGTCAGATACTCGTCTGAACAGTTGATGCTCCTACACTCCACCAGGTCATTTATTTGCATCTGTCACGTTGCCTTGAGGCTTTTATTTGCTTTTGTCATGTATGTGAACGCCCATGGCCATACCTGACCATCTTCTTTGCTAAAGTTTCAAATATTGAGCGGTTGTGGGAGACACCCTCTTATTTCTAAGGTTGTTAAGAAGCATCCTATTATATTTCATTCAGTGTAACACCTCAAAATCACAACGGTAGATAAACGTATGTCTTGCTGTGAAATAACATTATGTAAAAAAAAAAAAAATATGTCAGGAGGCCAGTCTGGCTAAATGAAGAGACATGGTGTGGTTATTATTCCAGTCTGCATTCCTGAAACTTAAACAAATCTCCTATATATATATATATTTATATATAATTGATTTAGCCAAAATCCTATTTGGGAACCACATATTGTTTGTGTGTTTAATTGCAATATACACTACTGTTCAAAATGTTTTATTCACTCTACCTTTCTATATAAAATAAGCATGTTCTTCAAACTTTGTTCACCACAGCATCATAAATTAAAGTCATAAGTAGAAGAAAAACAATAAAATGATTCAACAGATTCATTTGTTCTGATGAAAAGTTATCTTAACAAAAAGACCTTCAACATATCTAGGTTCAATTGAATGTACAATTAATTCAGATATCAGATTAGAAGAGACAAATATAGCCACACCACCACCCTTATAGTTTCTGTCAGCTCTGTTAAAGTACAGTTTACAAGTTTAATTTCCCTATCGGAAATCCTACTACTCAACCACGTCTCTGACAAAGTAACAATATTCGGATTATATTGGGCTACCCATGCACGTAGTTGATACGTTTTAGGCAGAAGACTAATATATTTAAATGAACAAAATTTAAACCTTTAATATTATCCACTTTATAAACAAAAACTCAAACATATTTTCAATGCTAGTAAATCAAGAGTTACGCAAACCAAAGAATATAGTAAAGATATAATCAATTGTAGTGGCATAACAACAAAACAGATCCACATATATAGGCTAACAAACAAAACAAAACCTCATAAAACACAAAGCAGCAACATTAAAAACATCCTTAGCCATCCTAAGCCAAGGCATATTCATGAATAGGTCAAATTAAGTCAGTATGAACAAGAACATAAACATTCAGTACATGGTGAATGTACTTTTCAAGAACTTTTCATGTTCTTCAGAAAAGTTTAATCTTGCAGTTTTTTGTAGAAGAGCAAGCAAGGTTTTTTTTTTCTTGGACCGCATCCACAGAGGCAATGAAAACACTGAGGAAACTTAGTCTGCCGACCTTCGGCTTGGTGTGTTCCCGGCTTTAGGATGGGCGAGAATTTGGCGGGGAAAAAAATCACTTTGGCGGGCGCTAAAACAAGTTCAATGCAGGAAAATTCATGCGTGAATTTAACTGAGTAGTACATGACCATGCACTCGCACAAATGCGACCACATAAAATTTTAACTCGCACATTCTCAAAATATGGTCGCAGTCTGGAACCCTGTACAGAAATGCAAAATTTTCCCCCATTTATCAAAATACACATCAATCCTCCCGTGCAAACTATAAGAGAGTTTTTCAAGGGCTGCGACCTGCCCTAAGTCTGAATGCCACTCAAACATCGGAGGCCTTCCAGAAGATTTCCAGTTTTTTACAATAACACGTCTGCCCAGCATGATGATGCAGCTCTGTATCCACACTGTGATTCATTTTTTTAACATGACTTAAAGGCCTAGGGTCACCAAGAATGTATAAACTAGAACAGAAATTATACTGAGTCTGTGATATCTTTAAAATATAGCCATGTATCTCTCTCCAGAAATACTGGACTTCTGAGCATGGCCATAAGACATGAAATAGGTTGCCTTCCTCTCTCTGGCATCGCCAACATTCAGGATTATCCATAAAACCTGCTCTAAACAGCCTTCTGGGTGTTCAGTAGAATCTGTGTACAATTTTGAATTGTATGAGACGTGTTCTAATATCTCTAGACATCAATTTTAAATTACCAGTGATCCTCCCCCATTCCTCATCTTCAAATGAGCATCCCAAGTCTTTTTCCCAAATTATCTTAACCGCAGAGCTAATATTTTGGCCCATCTGACTAATAAGTAAGGAATAATATTTAGATGCCTCATGACCAGTACCCATAATATTCCGGATCATCTTGAGAATGTTTTTACCCCTGGTATCAGCAGATTCTTAAGGCGAGACATGGCAGGCAAAAACATCGGTTTTTTTTTACTTGTCAATTTTGAGATTTTTGGATATTTGTCTTCAATAGCATGTCTTCTTTCAGACTTGTGAAAAAAAGTCCGAAATACACATTTAGGTCTTTATTTTACTACACTTTGTCTGTAGATTTCTCATAAATTCAACAAAAGTTGTCGTTAAGGATCAACACGCTGCTCCGCGATCGCTGTCTGCTCCCTGTCATCACACACACCGCTGGAAAGCTCTCTCTCCTGTACAATGCTGTTGGATCCAAATATGGTCATTTCCTTTTTATCAGCAAACAATCATGAAAGTAAAAGGGCTGAATGCGCGATCTCATTGGCTGATGATAAATCTTTAAAGCCTGTTTTCTCAAAATGACTTTTCTCTCATACCCCAAATCCAAAATCTCTACTTCAGTAGCACCTTTATACACCAAACTTTCCAGTCTTGTACCTAGTTATATTATGCAGACATTTACAGAGGGATTTGTAAATATATTATTCCTAGCCTGATTTATATAACATTTTATTCCAAAAAACATGGCAGGCCATTGACAGTATATTCTGATTTACAGGATAACAAAAGTAGATATCCATAAATCCCTCTGTATTTTTTCCCCCATCTAATATGTGAACACAATGAAAAAATATTTGTTAACCTGGCTTTATCCAATACTCAGATTTCGTTTTTTAAGGCGAAAGGTGAAATCGATTTTTCATGCAGTGGTTAGTTTTGAGATTTTAGGCTAGTTCACTCCTTCAATATGTGTTTTTTCAAACTGTTATAAAGAAAAAGTTGAAAATATACATTAAGATGTTTATTTTATTAAATTTTGTTTACTTGCGGCAGTAAGTTTCTCCCGAATTTACCAAGAAGTTCGCATTCCAGCGCGTCATGCCGCGCTCCGTCTGTTTACTGAAGTCTGTCATGACCGGCATCGTTGTAAAGCTCTGAGTCTGCTGCACAACGCTATGTAACCCAAATATGGGCATTTCCTTTCTATCAGTAACAAATCGTGAATGTCCAGAGGGGGATTTAAAGCTATTTAAAGATATATAAAGCTATACACAGCAGTGGCTGATTATGCATGTCGCACGTCTGAATGCTGAGGCGATATGGAAGTCTTTTTTTGAACACCTGATTCAATTAATGAGTAGTTATTAGAGTAGGAATTAGTCAATTAATCAATTAGTCAACTACTCATTAAGCCTTTAATTAATTGAATCAGGTGTGCCATTTCAGGGTTAAAACAGAAACATGGCCTGTCAGGGGGTCTTGTGTAAGAAAACTTGTGTAAAAGTGCTGTATGTCGTGCCATTTGCAAAGTTTATCTGGCACTCAAACAGTTTTTAGGGGGCTTTGTGGTATTTCCAAGCCACTTAAGACCACAGGCTGTGAAGCAGAATTTTTTGGCCATTGCAGGTACATATGTAATTGTTAATGAACATCATGCAACCATTAGAGATGGGATTTATGGCTCTTTGAGGAGATCCGGATCTTTGCGATCCGTTCCTTTCAAAGAGCCGTTCAAAAGAACGGCTCTTTTGGCTCTTTTTAAATATTTAGTCAGTTTTAAGAAGCCAGCTTGGGGGCATCTCAGTTTATCCTGGAAATAATCACTGGGAGGAATGATGAGGTGAGATTTGTAGTCAAATAATTAAAACTCAGATATCACACACCAATATCTGAGTTTGAATTATTCTGAAATATTGATTATTACCTCATTTGTCATGTGTGGACTATATTCCATAGGGTTGCACAACATCCCTCTGCTTAGAAAGTGACATCATTATTTTGGATTTACCTTTAGTACAAAAAGTGTGTGTATGTGTAAAGCTATGTTGACTTATGTTATTCATACAATACCTACTCACAAATAAACATCAAAAACAAAGCCGGCTGCAATGAATTTCTGTGCAAAACAGCTTTTACTACAAACACTAACACTTCCACACAAGAACATTGTTATCACACAAGAACATTTTGATAAAAAACAAAAAATATTTAAAGTTGTAAATATATACTGTAGATACAATAACATGAACATGAACAAAAAATGCAATGTAAATAAATACAAAGCAGTTCCTTACTTTATGGCTT